ATCCTCCATGTTCTGTCTGCTACACCTCAGATAGATGGAAGGACGCCAATCGACGCATTGGCGATCGCCCTTTCCAGAGGAAGGGGGGAATAGTACCATGTACCATGTACATATCTTCTCACTCCGCCCAAAGTGCCCGAGGAAGGCGCCTTGAAACGGTAGGCATGCGAGATAAACAGAGGAGGAAGCTGCGAGGCCAAAATAGGCTTCACCGGTGATCAAGGGCTGCAGGTACTGCTGCTCGCCGGAGCCAACACCATTGAACCGCCAGCTCAGCACCATCTCGGTACCAATATGCACGCTGGCGCGCGCCGGGTGCCCACCAGAAGCCAATGAGTGAACACAGAACAGCGATGAACGACAAACGACGAACGAAGGCCGACGACGACGAGCAAGCAAGTCCCCCCCAACACACATCCAGACTTTCGGCCCCCGCCCCATGACGCGCTTCACGAGATTAGCTGAAGGACCAGATAAAATCGGAGAGGTTCGTTTCGTCGCAGGATGCTCCTTGCTTCCTGCCAGGGTCCCCCCCCCCCTCACCTCACATCACCACCACTCCTCTCCCCCTCCCCTGTCTTGGCCCAACCCCCAAAACCCCCCTGATCCTTTCACTTTGCCGTCGGTTCCTGGTCCATCACCAAGCTTGACCCCCCCCCCCCCGTCATCCTTCTTGTCCTTCTCTCGTCCGTGTGTCGCTCAGTCCCCTCTTCGGATCGGATCAGAGCAAAGCAGAGCAGAACAGAGCACGCTCCTTTCTCCACCCTGCCCGTCTCCTCGCCCACCCATCCTCCGCCATCCATGGAAGCCATCCTCTCTCTCGACTGCTCTACCAGGTCGGTCACTGACCTTGGATCTTGTTCCTGACTAACGAAACCCGCTCTTCGCCCCGGTCGTCCGCTAGCCTGGCCAACGCAGTTTTGCTTCTTCCATAGCTCTCCTCACGGGGACCCTGCCTGACCACGACCTTACTTACCACTGACGGGCCTTACCTACCCTGCCTGCCCTGCCTCCTTTCAACACCACCACGTTCCCGTCCGTCCTCCCCGTCATCCGTCTCACGTCAATCCAACCCAAGTCAATCGTTTCCACGCACCTCTTCGGCGCACGATATCACCTCACTCGCTTTTTGAACCACGATACTTCGATTCGCAGCTTGTTTATTTGCACCCTCGGCCTCGATTTGCCTGCCTTGCTCACCCACACACTCGTTTTCACGCACCTTGGGAATCGTCAGTCACCTGGCAGCAATCACACGGAGAAGCCGAAGGGGGAAGAAAAAACCACACACGGCACTTCCGCCAGTTGACTCCGCTGACCACCACTCGTCTGGAACCCCAACCACGAATCGAATCACATCACCGTGCTCGCTCTTTCCGCTCTCCGCTCTCCGCTCTCCGCTCTCCGACCACGTTGACCAGTTTGGCTTTGCTTTTCTGAGTGCTGGACACAACAGCCACGACTCACCACTTGTCCAACGCCGCAACCGCCGTCTGGCTGTGAACCGAACGAACCACCCCGCTACCTGCGTCCGTCGACCTCGCCTGCGTCCATCGACCTCACCTGCGTCCATCGACCTCACCCATTCGCGCGTTTTGCCTTCTGTCTGACGGGAAGAAAGCACAGCGTCGCCATGGATCACACAATGCAGGATGCACCTGCCGACGTCTTGGTCGAGGCCAGACGCACCCTCGAAGCTCTCAAGAGCTCCGGCTTGTCACGCGAAGTCCTGTTGGAGATGTGGGAGGCTGGCGACAGGTCCTCTCAGTCATCGACAGAAACCGTCTTGGAGGATGCGTCCACAAGAGGTTCGTCTTCGACCTTGTCGTCCCCTTCCACGCCACTGACCGGCCTGCCACCACCTCCAGCCATCTGTCACGGCCAGATCGGTCACCGACCGCGCATCTCCGTCTCCTCGACCAGCTCCGGCTCATCCGGCCACGCCAGCATCTGGTCTATGGGTTCCATGAACTCGAACGCCTCCATTTCCACACACTACTCACAGCCCGCCATGGGCCCCTCATCCCAGTCTCAATCCGTTCCCCAGCACTCTGTGGGCGGCGCTCTGCCTCAGGTCGCCAGCGCGCAGACTGGATGGGGCCCTGGACGGTTCAACTTTTACTGGTGCACCTCTTGTGAGACCAGGTTCAAGCGCAAGTACGACTGGAAGCGTCACGAGGAAGAGTTCCACGAGCGTTGGAAGAAGTATCCCTGTCCCGAGCCCGGCTGTAACCGGAGCTTCTGGGGTGCCAACACCTTTAACCAACATCACAAGTCTTCTCACGGCTGCAAAACGTGCCCGCACTCCGAAAAGGTCGTCAAGTATCTCAAGCGGAGAAAGTACTGGGCATGCGGCTTCTGCTCTGCCCTGCACCCTTCGCGAGAGCGCCACGTGGAGCACGTTGCGAGGCATTTTGAATCGGGCAAGACAAAATCGGACTGGATGCACTCGAGGGTTGTCTATGGCTTGCTGCATCAGCCCCTGATTCACGAGGCTTGGAAGGATATCCTCATGGGCAAGGCTGCCGAGTTTGCCGGCCGCCAGCCCAACTTCAGCTGGAACCCAACACAGACTGGACGCGCCCAAGGGTTTATGGAAAACGAGTGCCCCGGTCAGCTGCAGGACCTACTCGAATTTTTCTCAGGTTCCAGCACCGAGGCTGAGTCGATCGTCTCGGTTGCCTACGAGCTCGCCGACCTTGTGTTCCTCAACGTTCCAGCATCGCCGCCCATGGACTACGCTCAGTGCTACCCGCCTCAGCCCACAACTCTTGCTCCGCCTCCGCCCCCTCAGGCATATCCGCCACAGCCGCTCCTACCGCCGCCAGCTATTCCTTCTCAGACCCTGCCCACTCAGCAGCCGTCGCCGCCTGTTGTGCCGTCCCAAGAAGGCAGTCATCAACCTTTTGTTGACCAGATGCGGAACCAGCAGCAGCAGCAGCAACAGATGGATCAAATGAGGAACCAGCAGCAACAGATGGACATGGACCACATGAGGAATCAGCAGCACATGGAGCAGATGAGAAGCCAACAGCAGCACATGGACCAGATGCGTTCTCAACAGCAGCATCAGCAACACCAACAACAACAGCAGCAGCGGCAGCAGCACATGATGCCACCGCCACTTTTCCACCAAGGCCAGCCAGTCACTCGCGCTAGTTCCGATCCCATCAGGCACTCACTTGATCGCGAATTGCCGCCGCCTCCCCAAGAGGCCCCGCCCATGAATTTTAATTACATGCCCAACAACGTCGTGTTTGAAGACTGGGAGAGCTTTGGTACCACAGTCGTCGATGACCACAGCTCAACACCAACACCTGTGTCAGCAGAATGGCCCATGGTGCCAGTTCAATACTACCATCACACGCCTGTTGGGCAGTAATGGTGGTGATACAAAGCAGATGACATACACAAACGTACACATACACGCACAAATACCCCTATACACTCACATACCCCCATTCAAACACCAGCCCAGCAGCGAAGGGCCCTTTCCTTGTCAAGTTTTCAATGTTTCGCGGGCATTTTCGCCATGAGGTCAGCAACATTTAGTATATAATGGTAATCTTCACCTGTGTCATTTGTATCGGAACGGCGGGTTCATTGGTTTTAAGTTCAACAACAACATGTCATGAGGATTCTCAAGGGAAGCAAAACAAGAGGGTGAATACACTCTATGGATGCCTTGTTTTTTCCCCCTTTGCAATGAGAGGGTCCTGATTGGAAAGACGAGGATGAAAGGTCAGGGCAACCATGGGAATGAGCCACATGGGCCATAGGAGGGGAGAGAAGACAGTGGTGGAAAGAGTTTAGGGAGGGTTCAACCAAACAAACAATGCACCAGTTGTTCGTGGAAGACCCATTACGCTTGATGGTCAACGCCCATGCGATAGATTCTAGTACATCACGCATTAACCTTGTCTCTCCACCCTAGTCTACATGTGCGTGACACCGTCAGTCACATCACGCCACCACTCTTGGTCGAGCAAGATTTCATGACGGCTTCATCGCCACAACAGCATCCTGCTCTCAATGCCAGACAGACGAGCAAGCAAAGAGATTGAGCAAGCAAGTGAGCCCCTCTGCGACAGAGCTTACTCCAATGCAGCTACCCGCAGCTGCAGCTGATGCAGGGAAGGCCTCTCCCCCCGCCCGTCGCCAACTCCTCTTCGATCAGGTCTAATGAATCCGGTCGACCCCCTGGTCCTCAAGCCCCCCCGCATGATCTTTGGGCCTGTAAACGACAGAGGTTCTGTTTGCTCTCTGGGCGTCGCTCATGTTCATCATGGAGGCTATTGGCTGGCTCGCCGAGCCTCGCCTCGGCTTTCCTACGACTCGGCGACGCAGCGCGTTCGTGACACAAGCCGACGCATAATGCAGCCCCCTTCACCGTCATCTTGCAAACAAGGCGATTGCGCTGTAATCTGTGGACATGAGGGGGCCCCGTGATGGTTTGTCGCTCGCTTGCCTCTGACCGGGAGAGGCGTCGTAGGAGAGGGGAAAGGTGACCTGGTCATGGTATGATGACCCGATCACAGACTCCGGCAGGCAAGCCATCATCACACAAGAGGAGACGGTCTAAACTAGGTGCACGGAGAGTAGGAGAAGCGGAGAGGGGGCAGATGAGAGGGACGGTAGACAGTCCAGCTGATGTTATAAACGAGCTTGGTTCTTCTTGGTGTTGAGACTTGGCCCCTTTCGCTGCCCTCTTCATGAAGTCCCCCTTTACCTTTCCTCCCCCCGTGAGATTTTCTAGAAATACCTACCATCTCTTTCCGTTTTTCACGCACACATCAATCATCAGACCTCTCGTCTTTTGTGTCTCGATCCGCTTGACAACCCCAAGGCAGAGCGAGAACGAGTGAAAGGCCCTGTTTATCACCACTCATCTTATTGCGGCATTTGAGACTCGACTCGTCGAAGGCCTACCCGTCCATCTGGTTGCTCCTGACGCGGCCATCCGTCCCGATCCAGAAGAAAGATCTCGTGTACGTCCCCGGTTTGCCTCTCGGCATATGTCGACAGCCCTTTTCTCTTCTGTCGTGGCTGTCTCCCCATATTCTCTTTCCTCTTCTTTTCCTTTCTAGAACTCGAATCGAATTCATTTCCCAAGCTGACGGTATCCCGCCCAAAGAATGTCTCAGAACGCCGACCAAGCCGCCTGCGAAGCTGCCAAGACCCGACTTGGCACCGAAGCGACCGCCATCGCTTCGGCCGAGGCCGCGGCCAAGGCTGCCGCGCTCGCCGAGGAGCTCCGGGCTGAGGCCGAAAGAACGTCGCCTCCCCCGCCCAAGAGGCTGAGCTTCGCCATGGAGCGCTACCTCGGCGAGACACCGGTCCAAGAAGTATTCAACGGCATCAACAAGTGAGACGATGTATGGTGAGGGCGCTCTGCAGTTTGTGGATTGGCTTGCTGCTGGCGGTTTGTGCGGTTCGTGCGCTTGAATCTCTGGTTCTATTCTAGTTTCACGATTCTTTGGCTATTTGTCTTTCGGCGAGATCCAAGTTTGAGCTTTTGGGGGGTTTGATGCAGACTGTCTTGGTGGACTGCTCTATCTTGTTTTGATTCCTGGTTTGAATGTTGGTAGGCCTTCTCAGAGGATTGGGTATGTTTCTCTCTTCGACGCTAACGAATTATGACGAACGTATGAATGAATCAAAGATGCTGCTTCGACCTCGTTGCTGTGCCGTTCGCATGGTTACTCGTGACGTTCGGATGCAACACTGACATCGGATAGATCTTCGTGTTGCGACGTACCAGGGCGTGAGTAGTCGCGTTGACGTGGTGGAACGAACGGCCTGGTTCTTGGTGGCTGTCTGGGCAGGGAAGCGAATATGATGTAGGCACCTGGTCTTGCGTGTGTATGACCAGAACCAGCTCTGTTGGGCGCCATGTCGCTAGTATCTGGCTCGCAAATGGCATCGTGAGTTTGACAACTGCTTGTTTCGATTAAGGCCTTTCCCATCAACGTTCAGCTGCAATCGTTTTCCTTGACCCGCCCGACCCATAAACGAATTGAGCAGCAAAGTAAATGAGACTGGGGTTTTTCTACCTACCTACGGAAACAGGATGCAGGTTCGACTTGGTTAGCACCAGCGCTCAAAATTAGAAGCCATTGCGCACGGCACTAGATATCGCCGCCTCAGCCCCATCCTCAGGGGGCCTTTCATCAGTAATTGTTTGCACCACAATACCCAAGTATAATGATTCTCTACAATCCACTGTGGCAATACATTTCTTGGTGCAGCGATGATTGTCTCTCAAGTCATATTACAGAAGCGATCTATGGAAGCCTGAGACGTTTGACCTTTGTCTCCGTGTCATATATAGGCTCTGCTTCAACAATGATGAATGACACGAACTCTTCACTTTCTAGAAACTGACCTGAAGCCTCAAATTCAGTCATTCTCCACATCTTTGTGGTAAAGCCCCGACCTCGTGCTGAATCAGGGCCGAACCCGGTGATACATAAAGGAGGCGGTAGCTTACAACTGCTTCAGCTCCCGATATAAAGAGCCAAGACGTACTGCACAACAAGACTATGCAAAAGGGTGACCAAATGAACAGTTGATAATATCCTATCGAGTTACGTCTAGTAAAAGTCATGAATGCCGCCGGCAATGACCCGAATACTCCCCTCCACCACCGGATCTCAACGTGGAGCCGCTCTACAACCCATCCTGCCCGAGCAGATATCCCCTACGATGAGCCCAAGGAGCGGGCGACTAACGGAGGTATTGTCATCATCGAAATGCGACCGCCACGCCGGCCACCCCACCGCCGCCGCTCTTTACCCAAGCTCCGCACCCAACCTCATTCTGTGAAAGCATCGCCTCGCAGCCGGCCTTTGCTTCAAGACAACCACCACAAACGTAATCAACAGGAATGCTTTGGAAATGACAGTGCGGATGGTGCTCTGCGTGGCCGGCAGCATGCTCACAGCCAGAGGTCAGACGGCCCTGCTGCCATCAGCTTCGACTCTCCGGTTCGACTGGGCCATGTGGAAGGCATGTCCTGGGACTTTGAGGACGTGTCGAGAAACGCCTCTTGGACTAGCATCAGCGAGCCATCATATACAAGCATGTGCAATAAAAGCATTGACTCTCTTAACGCATCTGGCCAGTCACCTTCGACTCGTGAGGCTTCTTTTCGAGGGCCTCGATGGTCTGGCTGGCCGTTTGCAAAGAAATCATGATCTCGAGGGCAGGGTAAGGAACTACGGAAAGGTTTTGTGGCAGCGGGTGAGGTCGATTAGCAGCCAGAGAGAGTCGGGGGTCTTGCAGAACAATAACACAGAAGCCGGTAGTCCGCTGCTGATAGCAGGACGACGTGGAGTGTCACTGCTTGACATACAAAAAGAAAACCTCTCATGCAGGTGATAGTGTCACATGTTTGATACAACAGCGGCCATCGCACGGGCAGAATAGTACCTGTCAACTGTGGCCAACATGCTCTCTTTCCTACAGCCAAGATTGAGTCGCAACTATAAACAAGGGTATTCCTACTGCCAGTTAACGCCCCAGCACCAACAAGGACCATCCGCCCACGCAAATACGCCCCTGGCACCCTACATGTTCAGCCTTCATGTGAATCTGGAACAGCTCACTGTCCGGCTATTTTTCGCCGACAACGTTGATCTCGTATCCTATCAGCACCTCTGTGCTTGAGCCTTCCCAGCCTCGCGTGCCGGCCGTCGAGATCATGAAGCGACATGTGCGATCGAGATATAGCGAAGAGATGACACCAGCACGCGGTGGGCCGGGAACGATGAGGAAGGGAACGCTTGAGTTTTTAAACGCCGCCGTGTCCCTCGTGTCATAGAGACGCAGAATATCATGCGAAGCGCTATCAAAGATTAGCATGGATCGTGGAATCGAAAGAACAGAATGGCAAGATGCCTACCAGATCAGGTGTCGCCCGTTGGGCATCGCCCGCACGGCAGTCACGGCGCCGGAGCCAGCTGGGAACTTGAGGGTTCGCTCAGGGTCCCATCCACTGCGGGCCTTGTGGATGCTGAACTCTTCAACAGTGCCGTTTCGCCGGCCTGCGTAAATCCAGTTGCCGTCAGGACTCCAGGTGGCGCCCATGCACCACGGTGGCACGCCTGTCCGGGTGCCGATCCGCGCGACGGGATCTTGGACGCGGCGGTCCCAGATGCGGATAGTGCCGTTGATCGCGGCCGACAAGAAGACAGTATCGGAGGACTGTGTTGGGTCGAGCGGGGGAGGAGCTGGTTTAGAAGAGAAGACGAGGGACGGCGAGTTTGGAGGCTGCTGCTCTGTCTGTGCAGATGTGACAGCTTCAAACTCACCCATTCCCATGGGTTCGGTAGGTGTTGGGTCTGTGACCATGGAGTCGGCCGCTGGCCCGGGGATAGGTGC